ACTTTTCTGTATTATTGGCTTTGGAGTCGTGGCTGGTCAAGGTGAAGAAGACGGTCGCCCAGAGCCTCGACTCGAAGTGCAACACCACCGATTACGAAATCAAACGTCGACTTTCGAACGTTCGAGGTTGCGGGCCTCATGCAGGGGCGAATTTAGATTGAGTGATAGGGGGGCAGTTGCCCCCCCCACCTAAAATTTTAATTTTTACTATTAGTACTAAAAGTTTTAATTTGTTCCCCCTTTAAATTTATTTTTGTACCCCCAGATTTTTTTTAAACGTCATTCACTAGCCAACTTGTCCACAATTGTCAATTAGCAATTCAACACTTAATTTATTTTACTATTAATTTTGTATATTAATTATTATCATTCTACAATTTTAATTGGGTCATATAAAAGACATCGGCTCTCTTTTATTGCCTAAGCTAGGGCTGGTATTTTTTGACCGAAAATCGAACCGAACTGATGAGAAAATAAACTGAATCGAACCGACTTATGTATAACGATAACCGAAAATTGGTTACCGAAATGTTATTTGTTCGGTATCAGTTCTGAAACCATTAGGGTTCGATTCTAAACCCATTATGTCATGTCTTTTGCCCCCTCAAAACTAATTTCTGGTTTCACCCCTGGCCTCATGTCCAAGCTCCTCCACCTATGGAAGTTCCTTTCCGACAGGAACAAAGCCCATATACGGGCCGAGTCCGTACACCTCGAAGGTGTTCGAAAAATTGTCTCAAAGGACAACTCGTGCTTATCTGGACTGGCGCGGGCTGAGCTCATCGAGAATCTCAAATTTGTCGCCAAATCCATCTCTCGATTGAACCGAAGGTGCGAGGATCTGTCCCTCAGGAGCTTCGATCGCCTCCTTCATAGGTTTTTTTGACTCGGGCCTCAACCCGCGTAACTTGGTCCTTAGCTCGAAGGAGATGAAGTCCAAGATCAAGACGATGGAGCAGTATGTAAAAAATATATGAAAATACTAAACGAAAAAAACAAAAAAAAAAAATGCAGTGCTCATCACTCGAGCAATATATTTGAAGATACAGCTAAAAGCTCGACCAACAATGAAACAACTATGCTCCCAATTCAGTGTGTTTTCCCCAAGTGGCGACAAGGGTCAGCCAAACTAAAATCACACGAACCTCTTGAATGGGACATTGAGGACTTTGGTAAAGCCGATGAGAGTAGTACAGGGGAGTCTTCTCTGCCCAAGAAGGAGAAATATCAAAGGCTTTAATGTTTCTCAACACGAAATCTGCTTTTTCTGTGTCGGTCTCTAAATTGAAGAATGCGGCCTACTTAAGGACAGAGCATTGAGTTGTTCCTATCGATTTTTTTACATACATGAAAATCCATTTTAGTTCAAATATGTGTGTGTTTTCTTTATTTTGCTTCCATTTTGATCAGTTACAATATTATTTATTTAGTTCTTTATTTTCCTTTTTTTCTTTTTTGTGACAACTTGTTGCAGTTATGAGCTCCCGGAATCACACTGCATTTTTGCTGAGGTTGTTCTTCAGTAATAAATAGATGTAACTTTTATCTGAACATGGGTCATTAAGTACTCTTTTCTCTAGCTGCAATATCATCGAATCTTAGTTAATTTTGCTATTTTTTTTCATTAGCATTTACTAAACAAAGTTACATCTATTTATTACTGAAGATGGCTAGTAGATATGGACATGGGTCATTAAGTACTCTTTTCTCTAGCTGCAATATCATTGAACCTTAGTTAATTTCTCTTTTCTCCAGCTGCAATATCATTGAATCTTAGTTAATTTGTAGCTAGAGAAAAGAATACTTATTTCTCCAGCTGCAATATCATTAGCATCAAGTACTTTTTCTTATGTAACATTAATTATAATTTTAAAAAACGAAATATTATTTCTATTTTTAAAATATAAAAAATGTGATATATATGTTATTGCTATAGGTTTGAATAAAAAGTTAAGAGCAGTGCACTATTTTAATCCAAGACGATTTTGACTTAAGTCCCATGTGGTATGAATATAATAATAAAAGGGCAATTAAGACTTTTAATTCTTTTTTTACAAACCGCTGAATCAAAACGCTAGGAAAAGCAGCGTTTTCCATTTTAGCGGATTGGGCCAAAAAAGTTAATTGAAAAAGCTGTTTACTAAACATATTTTTTAACTGATTGTAAAAAGTCAAACAGCGGAAAAGTTAAAAAAGCTCTTTTAAGGCCAAAAAGCTATTAAACAAACACAGCCATTGTTGGTGATCCACCCAACAAACAACATGTATATTAGATGGAATGAGGTGGAGATGAGAGTGACGGCTCCACTCAATCATCATTTCATTTTTTTTTTAATAATTTTAATCTTTAATCTTAATTAAAGATTAAGTAAAAATAATTCAAGATAATGATCCATAATTATTGAAATTAATTTTTTAAATTAATTGGTCAAAATCTTATCTCCCATGTAAAATAAAATCTCCTCTTTTATGTAGGCTTTTAATATATAATCATATTAATATTTGGATTTGAATTTTAAAGTCCAACTTTAAAATTCATCTATTAATTTAGTAATTCCAATAATTGCTTAATTAATATCCAAAGTCTGATTAATCAATTCAATTGATTAATTTATATTATTCCTTTAATTGACATATAATCAAAATTAAATTTAATTAAATAATCAAATTATTTAATTAAGTCTTGTCAATTAATCCAACTATTGGAAATACCAATTTTAAAATGTCATCATCCAAAATTTGGTGTGACCCCTTTAGGTTCACGATTAACACTAGTAGTGGGTTTACAACTCGTTTGTAATTTAAATTAATCTAATTAATTTATATTCTTGAAATTAACTCCTTAATTTCAAGAACCCACAAATCATGGTAACACCTAACAAGTAGCATGATCATCTAGTGTTAAGTGAAATAGCGAGTAAACCTTTTTTCAATTGCAAGTGCATACATGTAAAATCCTTTCGACGACTAATTTCCCGATTAAATCTTGGGCATGGATTTATAAGTCGAAACCCAATTGATTTAATAACTATGATTCCATTTCAAGTTTAGTGATTCCTTTATGAATCCATATTCATCCTGCCTTGGCCAAGGTCTTTGAATCACAAATTATGAAAAAAAATAGGAAATTCACTTATCCGCATAAGTGTCGAATTCTTTATTGGCCACAGATAAATCTCCATACATATTAATACAGTACCCAAAATATCCCTTTTATGATTGTCCAGCAATCAAAGGATAAATCAAAGTAAAGCACAACATGCACAAGATTACTATCGTGCCTCAAGTCAGAGGATCAATCATGTACTATTGCAACATGAAAATTCTTATTCGGCAGTTAAAAACTTCCAGTTAAGAATTTTCAACGGGTCATGAACAGTGAACTTGTTCTCTAACAAGCACCCGCAGATATGCATTTGCGTCCACATGCTAATGTTGATGGAATGCAATATTCTCGTTCGACAAGCATACATTATATGCACAAATCTTACCGGGTTATTCGATGTCCTGTCTCAAAATGCCCATTGACTTGAAACTTATTTAAGATCACAGCTTTAAAGACATGTTCTATGATTGCCATCATATGCCCAACCATGCCCAATAGCTAATAATGATCTAAAGACTTTATCATATGTGCAAATATAGGATAAATGCAAAAACATAAGATAAAGTTATGCCTCAAAATAATATAATTTCCATTAAATTGTCTTTATAAGTAGAAATATATCCAATCAAATTGGAACGTCGAGTATTCTACTATAACAATAACTTCAAATTCGTGATAACTTAACATAAACATAAGAAATAAAATAAAATATAAGATAGTTCATGTTTTGTTTTCATGATTTTTTCTTCATTTTTTTTTGAAAGTTACAAACAATATTTGAAGTGTCATTCTACACAAATAAAAGTCTGTTGTATCTCGGAGATGTTTGCCGAAAATCTGGAGCAGGTGACAATTTCGTGTTATTTCACGTGACTTGAAGAGAAATAGCCCAAAGTCTGTATTTTGGAGATCGCTGTTTGATTTTTTATTTTTGAATAAAAACAATGAGGCATAATTTGCAGTCCATGTTAGGATATTCTTCTGATCACCCATGCATTAGTAAAAATAACAAACAGTTTTTTCATAGTGCATAAAGCATCAATTGAAATATAACATTGAACAAAAAAATAAAAAATTAAAAACTAAAAAAAATAAAAATCAAACCCTGGTTGTAATCTTGTCCGCTTGACAAACCGGGTTTTCCTTCCTAATTAAATCCCTGCCGGCTTTCTTAAAATCGAACCGGCATGGGTGATCTTCAGGGTGCCTATGCGCCTTACAGTGCGTCACACCACACCTACACACAAACCCTACAAATCCCACCCTTTTGTTACAAACTCCACATCGCTTTTTCTCCACAAAATCTGGCGACCCATTAATAATCGCTATATCGGGTTTCGCAAAATCGGACGGTTTATCTGAATCTCGAATATTAACGGCCGCCATCAAATTACTGAGGTGGGCCACGTAGCACTTGGAGCACAGGCCTTTGTTATCCGCCGTACCGTAAAATCCGCAGCCGCCGGAGCACAGGCGGGGGGCTTCTGCCGGAGATGTGCCGGCCGCATGATCTTTGGAGTTAGAATTCATTTTTTTTTTTGTTTTCGCTATTTTCTATTTATCTTTTTTGGAGAATATAGGAGAATATAATTTGCTTTGTTTTGCCCGTGAGTTCGCATATTTATAAGGGGGAGAATATGTGGTTTTTCTTTTTCCAATCCGAATTGCATGAGGAAATATAAATCGGCCGAGTTTACGGTTTGCTAATTATTGAAAGATGTGATGATGTTCTAGAACTTTCTTGTAGGGTGGTGGAGGTGAGTTTATGCCTTGTTCTTTTAGGCTTTGCTTTTTTTTTCTTCGGTATTCCTTCTCGAATAATCCATGTACAAAATTTTACGTGTATTTAATCTGCGAATATCTAGAAAGTTATTATAAAATATGTGGAATTATGGTAAAGTCAACCGATAATATCAATATTTTTCGTTTAATTAATAAATATAGTGGAACAAGGTGTTAATTAAAAATATTATATTTTAAAAATAAAATATAAAATAAAATAACAAGCTTTTATTTCAGATTATCAAACGATTCTTAAAATATTCTAACACTATTTTATTTAATCTATATTTAGAAGAATACATATATATTTTTATATATGTAAGATATATAGTTGTCAAATCGAAAATCTCTCACAAGACGAACAAATAAAATAGTTAAACAATTTTATGATACAATTATAATTTAAGTTGATAGTGTTTTATAATTTTAAAAATTCAAAGTATGGGTTTGTACCACCATAATCAAGCACATAGTATTACAAATTACCATAGATCAATACATATGCTCGGGAAATCTTATATGAATTACTCTGTATCACCGTACACACCATAATTGAACACATAGGATTATACCAAAATCTATATAAATTAGTCTACCACCATAATTGAACACATAGTATTACAAATCACCATANAAAAAAAAAAAAAAAAAAAAAAAAAAGAAGAAGAAGAATGAATCCGCTACAAAACAATACATTACTATGTATCACCATAACTGAACACACCATAATTGAACACATAGAATTACGAATCATCATAAATCAACAACATAGGATTACAAATCTGTTTTGAAGAAGAAAAAATATATTCAATTGCAACCTTAAGGGCTTAGGTTGTCCTCTTTTTTTTTTGGTGGCTTTTTAGGTTAAAAGAACACCCGTGCATTAAAGGGACTAGTCAAACACCATTAAAGAGAAAAGGCATACTCATCATCCAAATAAAGCATTATTTAGGATTAGGTACACCTAATTCTCAAAACAAAATATGGTTCCGTTGGCATAGCTCAAGGAAGTTGTTGAAACTCCCACCACTTCACCTCATTCGCAGCATAACTACATATACACCCACAAACCAAAAGCTAATTAATGTACAAACAACACAGCCCAAAAAACCCCAAAAATGGCAGAAACAAAACCACCCAAGAATGAACAAAAGCGAAAGCAACAGCTTATCTCCATCCCGTTCGCATGGGAAGAAAAACCGGGCACTCCCAAAAAGGACTGGAAACCCACCCCACGTCCAGTCAGCACCAATCCCTGCCCGCCACCTGTCAAGCTCGTCGTCTCTGTCCCGTTCGGTTGGGAAGAAAAGCCCGGCACACCCCTCCAATCCTTCACATTCCCAAAACGCCCTTCACAAAATGATTGCGTAAACTTCGCGAGTAATGAAGAAGGAGATAACAATGATTTATCAGATTCAGAGTCCTCAGAAGCATGCAGTTTCAAAACGAGTGTATCGTTCTGCTCGCCAGCCAATGTACACGCGACACCTGTCCCTCTTCAGCAAACTCCATTTCAGGAGAATGGAGCTTCTTTCTTGGAGTGGCTTTTTCCTCTGCTTGTGCCGAGTTCGAGTTTTTCGAATAAAGACGGACTACTGGAAATGGATAGTAGTAAAGAGCTTCTCCAGAGTGAAAGAAATTCCAGTCAAGTGAGAAGGCCTTTGCTGACACTTGGAGAGCTGATAGTGATGAGCCGGAGAAGAAGTTGCCAGAGGAAAGTCAAAGTCAACAGAATGAGTAAACAGCCATCCATGGTGAGTAGAAATAACGCCCGTTTAGCAGCAACTGTTAACAAATTACGATTGGTAAATGGTAATTTTGACTTACCTTTTTATATATATGGAATGACAGGACTTTGCAAGGAGGAACACCTGGGGCTGCTTCCGCATGAGTGAGCTGCAGATTAAGTGGAAGAAACAATTGCAACTAAAGCTTATGTAAAAAAATTGCTGTCTGTAAACCAGTTTATGTTCAAATCCAAACCTGAAGAAAAAACTGTGTCGGCCGTGGTTTCTTTCCACATGATTGTTCNGATTTCAATCTCAAAAGAAAAGATAAGCCAAGCCACCAGGCAGACTTAATTGAAACCAAACAATGAGACTTAAGAGTGTGGAAAATCAAGTAGAAAAGCAACCAATATAGCATTTGCAACCAAAAAAAAAAAAAATCTAGAATATTCTATACAGAAAGTTTACATCTTTCGACCACTCTACGTATTCTTCCCATCACAACAGGAATCTCGTTCTCACTCAAAGTCGTGAAACAGAACCTGAACCATCCAGGCTCGATACAATGACACGTTGACCCAGGAGTCACATTAACCTTAGCCGTATTCAAAAGCTTCTCCCACAAATCGAGCTCCCCTTTCTCATTATAAGGACTAATCAACCGGCTCATATCCACCCAGCAGTATAATCCTGCACTACTTCTCATACACTCCAAACCCATCTCTCTCAACCCCACAACAAACAAATCGTAACACTCGAGTAATCTTTTCCTGTTTTCCTTCAGGAATTCCCTTATAAACCTCTTATCCGAAAGCATTGGCATCAAAATACGCTGTGTCGGGCCCGAAAGCGAAGATAACCGAGTCAATTTCTTACACGCAGCCAAAACATTTTCATTCTTCGAGTAAATAACCCCAACCTTTAAAGAACCCGGGATGCAAAAATCTTTGGACAAGCTGTACACGATGTGGACCCGATCCTTGTCAGCATCCTCAGACTCGATTATCTCGGCCATGCTCACGAATTGCTCGTCGCCATAAGTCGAACCTGCGAATATCTCGTCACATATGATGTGGATGTTTCGCTCCCGAGCAAAATCGAGAAGATCGTAGAGTGTGTCTCGGCTGAATAGGTTACCAATGGGGTTCGATGGGTTGGTGAGGAGAATCCCACGGATCTTCTGGCCACGTTTTCTGGCCTGGTTGAACGTTTGCTCGAGAGATGTTATGCTTAGTGTGAAGTTTTCGCATGATCTGCAGTGGACAGGGATTAGCTCAACTCCCGTTCGCCATCTTATGTCCCTGTCGAATCTGAAGAAAGGCATTAATGGTTAAAAAAAGAAGAAGATAATTTAAGTGAAATAATTCAAAATACCAAGACTGAAGAGTGAAGACCCTAGAGTGTGTTTGTTTATAAAATAATTCAATTCAAATTCAGTTCATATTCAAAATCTAACTCAACTTTAACCCAACTCGACTATCTTCAATATTATCAATATGATTAAATAATATCAAACAATCATTCTTACACATCACATCAACTTTAATTCATTATTCATCCACTCACATAATTTTAACTAACCATCACTTCACATCACCTCTCTCCTATTTTTACATTATTTTAAATATTTTAATATAAACTCAAAATTACACTAACAACTAACCATACTACATTTTCAAAATTAACTCTTGTTAACAAAAACAAAAACAAAAAAAAAAACAAAAAAAAAAACTAGTTTTGAGCGGATATATTTGTATCCAAACACGCCCCTAGTCTTCAACTATGCATACCTTATTAATGACGTTCATTAATGATAGAGAAGGTAAGACGGCCATTTGGAGTACGTGAATATTAAATACATCAATTATCAAATAGCAAAAATTCTATGGAGCCATCCACCACTTAATGTATTGACACATGGCCAAATTGTATTTATTGTAGGACACGTGTCAATACACTATTGGTGAATAAGTGTGGATGACTCCATAAGTCGAGCCATCCGACGGCTCCATAGCAAAATTGTATCAAATAGATGGTTAGCTAGCGCAACAGAGGAGTAAATTTGGGAAATAATTTAGTGGACACAGCATAGAACAAAAGGAAAGAGTTATGCATTTAAGATCAAATATTAGCCCGAAAAATGGGGTATATTTACCCGGGGTAGTAGGGTGCAGGGACAAGGAAGGCATTCCCTTGGTCCGCCAGGCAAAATGTTAGTATCTCAAGTGCAGCAGTTGCACCACAAGTTAATATCACATGTGAAGGGTCGAAAGATAAAGTTCGCCCCATTACTTCAGCCATGAAATCAGCCATGGCCTGCAACATTCATGTGATTTTTCAGATAAAGGTAACATAAGCAATTTTTTTAAAGATATATTGTCACGTTAATATTTGCTGCATGAAAGAAACAATTATAGAGAAAAGAAAGAAAAAGTACACAGTCAAATTACATATATTCGTTTGAGATAGTATAACTCGAATCAAATTTGTAGCTCAAGATGATTCAGAAAGAGTTTCGAGGATAAGTTGTAAGACCAACGATATCTTGTAAATGAGATTTGTATGGATTGTTATTTCAGAAACAAAAATAAGAGAAAGTAATGGTATGCATGTACAAACGTAGGTAGGTAGATGAATTCAATTGTTTTCCATTACAATTCTGATATTCTTTTCCTTTCTCATATTCTCTTTAATGTATTAGACACATATCTGTGTAGGACACGAGTTAAATGAAAAAAAATAGTACATGAATTTTTCTTTTTTTCACTAAATCCAAGCTCATTTACAGTACTCGATTGAGATTTTACGTCATCACATTTTTTTCACAAAATAAGAAATATGGAGCATTGTGCATGAACCTGGATTTATCGAAAATTAAAGTCGTTATTGACTTATAACTTGACATGATCAAAATTGAACAGACGTGTGATGGTAACTTTCCGGAATAAACTTTTAACCTTCCAATGTCACAGTCTAAATCAAATACGCTTTTCTTTAAAATCAAAAAGGGGTAAATTATGAAGATCCACTTGCCATTTGCACCAGTTAGACCCTCTCACTTTCATGTACCACATGTTTTGTTTCTGCTATTCGAGTTAGTATATTTGTTATGTGTCACGTAGTTCATTTATTATGAGAGGACACCATACATCTATCAGACAAACTAACAATAGCAGACTCCTCCTTTAAAATATTTTGATCAATGGCACAAAATGCTGCATAGTGAAATCAAATTATCAATCTTTAAACTCCACTTTAATAGAATCCTTTTTTACCCCTTTCCATTTCGTCTTTTGATTTATAAGCTATGTCTCTGCATTTTTAAAACAATGCACCAATTGCAAGTTAAAACCCAAAATATTAATCAGACAACTAAAAATAAAAATCACATTTTTTATTACCACTTTGAACTCCATCAATCCATCCATTGGCTGATATGTTGCAATCCCACTGAGCCCCAAGGCCCGAGCCCGACTACCTAATTCGAGCTCCGAGGCAGTCGAATTTTGCGAAAACCACTCTTCAATTAAATCCAAAGACAGCTACAAATCATTTACAATTTACAACAAGATTAAATTAGACCAAGCACAAACACTCATTCCCAAATCCATGAACAAGCCAAAAAGGATAAAAGAAAAAAAAAATGAATCTTTACCCGATTTTCCGATAACCCAAGCTGAAAAACGCCATCGGGATTTTTGATTTCATCGTAAGGATCCTCCCGCGCTCGATCCAGACCAATGTAGTAGGGCGAGTCATTGGGCTTGGCGACGGCGGCCGCCCGAGAGGACAAGCTGGCGCGGCCGGAGGAGCCGCGCGCCAGCAGATTTGCGCGGGAAGAGGAGCGCGGGAGCTCGGCGAGGTTCGCCGCCGACGGGGAGCGGGAGGGGGAGTCGGAGGGGGGCGGCCGGTGCCGTTTGAGGTAGAATTGGAGGAAATAGAAGAGGGCGCAGGGGATTACGGAGCCGAGGATGAGGCCGCCCCTGCCTTGGACCACGCCCTGTAGGGGTACGATGAGCCTCATGCCGGTTCGGGCGGGGCTTCTGGGTGATTCTCGCCGTTCGGGGCTCGGGTTCCGGGTCATGAGGGTCTCCGGAGAGCCAGGACGGAAAAAGGATGGGCGGACCCGGCGGCGGAGATGAGGATTGGGGGCGCGGGGGGTTACCGAGGGTTTGGTGACTGTTGGCGAGGGACTGTGTGTGTGTGTGTGTTTCGTTAAGTTTGAGGTGGTGATTTGGCTTGAAATGTATTCTGTTTTGGGATGTTTTGCCGGGTTTTTCTATGCCTAAAATATCCTTTTGTCTTTGTCTTACGGGTGTCTAGACTACTTGTACAAAACAACAAAATAAAGTCATATGTGAGCTGGCTAATTATATCTTTGTTTGAAGCTTAAAATTCAAAACTAACCGCGTGATTGTATATAATTTGTACACTAAATATCTTATTTAAATTTAAATTTAACTTAACTTTAACTCAACTTCACTATCTCTAATATTATCAATATAATTAAATAATATCAACCAATCATTATTACATATCACATCAACTTTAATTCACTATTCACCCCTCACATAATTTTAACTAACCATCACTTCCAATTATTTTTTTTTACTTTTACATCAAATCAACTTTAATTATTTTAATTTAAATATTATTTTAATATATCCACTAACAACAAATTATACTACTTTTTTCAAAGTTAACTATAGTTAAAAAAAATTAATTTTTTACTAGTTGAATTCATATCTAATCACCCCTAAAAATTTTTATATACTTTTCCTAGTTCTAACTCACTAAAATTTGTATTTGGTTTAATATTAATAAATAATGTGAGGTCGTTTTCTGACTCGTTCAGTTAATGAACTGTTAATATCCGAGTCCGACCCCAACAAGAGGTGCCGGTCCGACAGATCGATAGCCGAACGATGACCGGCCGAGTCAAAGGAGCCGGTCACCAAAGCAGCATGTGGGTGCCGGGCCGATCAGAAGTCAAAGTCATCTGGAACGGCGGGAGGGACCGACCACGAACTCGGCACCTCATACGTGTAGCTGTGAGGTCGGCACCCTATTCGAAGTCTCCCCAGGACGGCCCCTGATAGAAACTCGACCTCAAATACAATAAACTAAGGCCACTTGTCAACAAATGATTGCCGATGGGACGTCCGACTCAGCCAAAACGTGCCCGCATTTAATGCACCACACGTTCGCATTAAATGCATAGCAGATAATGATTGGAAAATCCAGAAATTACTCCCAATCAGTCAGAGAGGCGCCGGCTTGTCCCGCTGAGTTACTGTACGACAAGATTGATGAACAGTACCCGAACAGTACCGCATTAAAGGCCCCTATAAATAGAAACCCCCTCATTTATTTTTGGGTTGTTGAATCCCAACTACTTGTTCCCTATATTTTCTCTCTCTCAAAAGACTTGTAAGAAACTCTTGTAAGAAACTGTAAGTATATCGCAAGTGCCGACCTCGAACGAGAGGCCGACCTCGTGATCCTTTAATAAAATCGTGATTGAACCGAATTCCTTTGTCTTTTCCTTATTCCTTTCCAATTATTCGACTTTTTAACCGTTGACCGGAAACGTCCGTCAACATGAACGGAGCTCGACCCAATTCAATAAACATTTGAACTTGAGATCAGGACGAACGCAGACATTTAAAAGTAGAGAGATAAAACTTGGCTTGTAGGATCTACAAGAAACGTTGCTTTTCTTTATGACCTTTTTTTATGACTATGACTATTATTATATTTGTTGGAGATAACCTTAAAATAATTAAAATATATATATATATATATATTAAAAGTTTCTCACATTTAGAGGGGCACGTACCCTTGCGGGCCCTTATGTGAGTCCGCCCCTTCTCGGGATTGAGTATTAAGAGCTCGAGTTAGTCTGATAACTCTTGCGTTTGTCCACACCATTTGAGTTTCTTGGCTCTCTTATTTGATAATTCGTTAAAAAAATTTAAATTCAATTCAACAAATTGCTAAAAGTTGTCACGCATGACAACAAAAACAAGACTATTGCTTATCTGAAATGTGGCATGATAATCTTTTCTTCTTATTCGTAATGAGAATGGATATTAAAGGTGATTAGTTAAGGTATATCAACTTCGGTTTTCCTACTTCAATTTTTCTTTTCACCTTTTTTTTCTGCTTTTCCTTTATTGGTCTTCCCTTTTTCTTCACATTTATATCACCGTACTACTGTTTGAAAGCCATATATTTATTACATATATTAAAATATAATACCACCTGTGAGTTTGTCATATCGTTTATACAGGGAAATAAGCCCAACTTATAGGCATAGTGGGCTACTTCTCCTTCAACCAATTGATTTGGGATGGAACCTCACCAAAGCCCATCAAAGCTTACCCTGGTGTGGTGCGCTTCACATACGTGAGACTGCACCTGTTCTCCCCCGATTCTTACAACATATACTTTATACACTTAAAAACAATTGAACTATACCGGTTTAAAATCCCTAAAACTTTTCGAACTTAAGTCTCCATTTAGGATGCTTTGTAATCTTGTATGTCTATATTTTGTGTTCTTTGATATTTAATCTTATATTAGTACAACATTAGCACAATACTCATGTATTATATGAATGCTTGTTAATAAATTATATTTGAATTTAAAAAATAATAATACAATACCCATGTATTACATTGAAAAAATATATTATTAATATTTATATTTAAAATGACACTATCGCATATACCTGATGATAGACATCGAAGATGGAACCATTGGGGGATCTAATGATAGACGTACCTTGATAGATATACCTAATTATATAATGTTGGAGTCCACTAATGAACCTATCACTGAAATTGTTGAGAGCAAATATCCAATGTTTAAGAATGGAATCGATGATCCCAGATATTTGAAGGATAGGGTTGTACTAGCCCCAACAATAGAGGTGGTTGAGTCTATCAATGAATACATGACGTCTTTGAACGTGATTGATGGTCAAACATATACTCGAGTTCTGATAGTATGTGTAAATTTGATTCCAATAATGATTTTTACTCCGATCTCCACACCCCCGAGTATTTGAATACTACTAGATGTTCTTGAGTGCCGAACCACAAGTTGCATCTTAAGATAGGAACCCCGAACCACGAGTTACATCTTAAGGTAGGAACCCCATACCACGAGTTGCATCTAAAGATAGGAACAATAGTCATGTTGTAGAGCGGAATATTGACCATTCTATGGGTTTGTGCGAAAATGGTTGTCACAAATTCTCTACTTATGTGCTTGAATATAAGGTATTGACTGGATCTACTGCAGACGAGAATGTGCTAATACCATGGTTTCGAAAACCGGACCAGACCGGACGGTTCAACCGATTGAACTGGGAACCGGTCTTCAATCCGGTCCGGTTTGGACCATAAAACCAGTAACCAATCGAACCGCTCAAGAACCGTTCGAACTGGTCCAAAACCGTTTGAACTGGTGAACCGAAAACGGTTTGAACGGTTCAATGATTATGGGTTTTGAACTTGTTAGGAGTTGATTGTGATGCCATTCAAATAACACACCTTTTTTTACGTGTGTTTTCAATGTGGGATATATTCATAAATAAAGTTCCTTGTTGAATTTATTGGGCCAATATTGTGATTGTGGTCATTGAAAGAAAAATGTACTTTTTTTTTTATATAAGCTATCTATTGGGCTATATTTATTTTCAATTTATTAAATAAGAAAGAAGCAATTTATTTTTATTTGTTATGCACATAATTTTATATTTAATTTTTTAATCAATAATAAAAGAAACTTAAAATATGATTTAAACATTAAAATAGAGTTATTTCTATTCTCTATATTTTATAACTTAAATATATATTATAATTTTACATATAAAAAAATAGAATTTAAAAAGTTATCAACATTATTTAAAACGGTTGGTTGTATTTATTATTAATGAACTCTTATTTAGAGAAACGACATACGGTATGTAAAATTAATGATAGAAATGTATATAATTATATATTATGCATATAAAATAAATAAAATTTTGTATATTAATTAAACTGGTTCGACCACTGGTCCGACCAGTGAACCATTGAACCAGTAGCTTCACCGGGTCGATGACCGATTTGGTTTTCAGAACCATGGTTAATACCTTGAATGACTTTAACACCTTTCTACGTTAGAGTACCTTACAAATTTCAGCGGAGTTACTTCTCCCTAATGGTTTCTTATGCCACGACGATTAACAAGAGTTAGGATCAGTCTTTATCACATGTTGGCATGTCCTTGAAGAAACCAACGTTCAGTCACGGTTAGTTGTATGTACTTGTTTCCCGTGTAAATAATGGAAAGGGCTTGATAATATTAGTTTTCGGGGACAATGATTACTAGACAAATAAAAAATATTGTCTACAAAGAGGTTTTTAATAATATATAATATTTTTATTTATTTTATTTTAAATAATAATTTTTATTCACGAAAATAACAACAATAATAAGGCTTAGCAAATAGTCTTAAAACTATTCACCCTGTGCATCGCACGGGTTATGCACTAGTTATTCTCTTATATGTTTTAAATAAAAATGTTACAAATAAAACTAATATTGTACATAAATTAGTTTTAAGAATAAAATAATTTGTTAATTCACTCAGTTCTTTATTAAAAATTGTTATTTATTGTTTATATTTTATTTTTCCCAACTTCAACAAAATATGTAAATATATTTTTTTTTCATTTTTTAATTGTACATTTAATTATTTTTATCAACCACACAAGTATTATACGAGTATTGTACTAGTTTACATATTATATCAAAAAAAATATTGCGTATAATAATACCTTACTGCTTACACTTTTTCTTTGAGAGCATAACACATCTCTGAAGGGACAAATCCGGTAATCCAATATCATCCGCCCACTAAACAAACCTGATATATGGCCCGCTCCCTTCAATCAGCCCATTAAGTTCTTCTGGTGGCAAAATTCAACTAATTTTTATGATCTCCCCTTAAATTGTGATACAGAACCAGGAATTTTCAATCGCCATGGCTGATTTCTGACAGGTAATGCTGAAGCTTTTTTCTTTCCCTTTTAATACGAGGAGGTTTGATATTGAATACAGATTCATTATCAAACATTCACTGATTCACAGGGACGCCCCTTTCACATCGAACTTCTACCGTTGCCAGTAATGGACCCTAGGCACTCTGCAGACGTGCTCAAGTAATTAATTTTAATTCTATGCCTCCATTATTGTTGTTTTGGTTCGATAGTATTAAGATTGAAGTCTGGTATTTTTTTTTCTTGTGTACTAATTACAGGCATTTGGAGAAGCAGAAGGAGCTTATAATGGATGCATATAGGTCAATGTCTGACGAATTGCATAAACTCCAGGTTCTAATTTCGATATTTATGTTTTTTTTTTCTTGATTTCTAAATCATTGTTCTTGATTCATAGATGTTAATTAGTTCAAGTTTGAAATTGAAATTATTATTACATTGCAAAGCATCCTTATATAAATTGGAAGTATTATATCTGAAGTTGATTAGTGTTCATTGGGGTTGTAGGTAGAGGAAGAAATGCTGATGCGAAAGTATTATGAGTTTATGGCAGCTCAAGGTTTAATGAACAAGGTATATATCTCATCATCTAAGATGTTCCTTCATTTTGTTGTAATGCATATTGATTATTGCTTTTGTATATGACCCATCTACATTGAGGTTCTTGGGTAAGTTAAGTCCGATCCTACCGTGTGGGCATTTATCACTGTTGGATCATGCGCACTCACACACATACCCATGTGGGTGTGTGTTGGTCCAACAGCAACTGACTTTCTTTTTAAGGATTTTAACTTTGTTTTCATTATCTTTTGCTTTGGTGTCAAAGGGATGTTGTGTTGTAACTTGAGTACTTTATGGAATTAAAATTTTGGTTGCAAGTGGTTTTCATTATATTTTGTTTTTCCTCCTTTAAGAACCCGGTTTGGTTTGCTCTCTACATGAATGTGATATCTCTGTGTGATTTGGCTTCTAAGGCAATTAGTTTAATAGGAAATAGAAGATACTGAGATTTTACCGTGTGGAATGAAGATTGCATGGGAAATTAGAATGGAATTTCGTATGAAAGATATGACTCTAGAAAATCATAGAAGTATTACTACTAGCAGTGGAGTACTTGAAATTTCATTCGAGTTTTCCTGAGTTCAGAAGATATATGTTGAGAAGAATACATCAAAAACAGTTTTCTTCTCCTTATTTTTCTTCATGTATCAAATCGGAAGATGTAACAGGAGGCTCAATACTCAATGCAACATTTTTCAGTCTAATTATTACACAATTGGAAAATTTTGGCTGAGTTGTTGAGAATTGTTGGCTCTCTACATGCCATAAAATTTGGAACTCGTGAAGTTTGCTGTTAAAAAAAGGAGAATATAACGATTCTGTTAACCCAAGTGTTATGTTTTTTGCCCAACATGTAATTCCTATCGGCCCAAGGATAATATAATTAACATTTATTGCATGTAAATTAATATTTTCTTTTATAACAACTCTAGATTTAGTGGCATACTATATTTGATGTGTTATTTGCAGGTAAAAGGTGGTACAGATTTAACAGAGGATGGAGAAAGTAGTCGAGCTGGAGCAATAGTAACCGTTGGCAGGGATTGAAGGATTGACTCGAGCCAATGTACTTCATCATTGTACAAACCACAGGCATCGATCTTTTTTTTATTCGTTGAAGTTGTATATATTACTGTCGATTTTGGTTTTTCGGAAAGAGAAGAAAAGAGGAAGAGAGGATCATGAGTAGCCTCAACTTACTTTAAACCTTTGCTTCTCGTGCTAATTTTGCCTCGATAATAAAAATTAAAATAAATGGTTATTAAGATATTTGCTCTCATATTCAGGCATTCCATCAATTAATTTTTTCAAAATGTAAAGAAAATGTTGAATTGATAATTATTACAAATTGTATCAAATATGATTCAAATACCAACTACACAAAATCAGTAGAATGGCCTTTTTCTCTCAACAATGAAGCAAGTCAGATTTTCTCTACTTATAGGTATAAATTGGTATCCATTCTCAAACGATGAGTTCACTAACAATAAAATAAAATTGTAATTGTGAAAAAACAACTTGCAAAGATGAAAGATACATTTTGATCTCAAAACCTTTGATACAGATTCAAATGGCCAAAGAAACTCGAAGGCATTTTCGTATCACTCCAAACGACTTCTGTGTTGCACTTGATATTCATCGTTTCTCATCCCGACTCTGCTTCTAATGTTTCTTTGGGAATTTTCTTCTACATTTACTAACGACAAAACACCATCACAATTTAATAAATCTAGTAAAAAATGAATAAATCGATAAAAAATTACGACCAAACATATAAATTAATTACTATAAATGAATGTAAATATGAGTCACATTCATTCAAAATAGATGACAAACATAAAACAGAGCATTTCTTGAACATTTTCTTTTATTATTTCTTTTGTTTGGTTTTAACTCTGTCATACGTATGATCTTGGCCATTTTATGTTATTTCAATGAATATCCCTTTGCTAATTATAAACTTCTTGGCCTTGTTTTGTGGTGAATAAGATTTCCAGCATTCATTGTGAAGCTGAATTTGGACAAAATACTATATATGGAGATTTTGCCCTTACCTATCATTCTGTTTCTCCTCCTCTTCTATGAGCATGAAAGGTTCTCATTGGTTCTCTATACAAAAAAACACAAAATAAACAACCAAACTAACACATGCACACGCGTGAATATTCTCCTTCTTCCATTCCTCTGCATCATTCAGAGCCCAAAAACTCTTTATTATTTTTCTTTTTGTTTTTTAAAGAAAAAAAGTTAATCGAAAATGGTATCTTATAACCGAACCATTATGAACTATGCGCTGGCCTGCACGTAATATTTTTGGAGGAAAAATTAGATGGAGAATATTCCGGAAGAAAATGAGGTGGAGTCTGTGGAAACCGATGAGGAGTACGAATTTGAAGCCTCTCAGTTTTACGATTTCACGAGGCCCGAGTTTGATTACGAGATTGAGGAGGCCGAGCGATGGTTTGAAGCTTCTGGAGATTATCCTCCTTCTCGTGAGTTGTATTTTTCTTTTTTTTTTTTTTTAAAAAAAAATTGTTTCTTGTTTGATTTGATATACGACAAATGTGCATGACCTCATCAAATGATGTCATTTTTTACGTCATTTTTTTTCTTTCGGGTTTCATAGCAGCATTTGTTGTGTTCTTTATGTTCTTTCAATGAATATCCCTCTCTCTAATTATAATCTTTCGGCTTTGTTTTTTGTTTTTTTGGTTTTTTGTGGTGGAAAAAAATTCAGCATTCATTGTAAAGCTGAACTTGGAGAAAATACTATACACGGAGATTTTGCCGAGCAGCTGTTCAAAAGCATCACACAATAACACCAAGTCAATCAGCAGCAGTTCGAATGCTATTTCTAGTGGGAAAAAAGATTCCAAAGGTAAAATAATCTTTTATTGGCTCCTCGTAATACAATTATCGAGCAGTATTTTTCGTGGCACGTTTAATTAATTTCATCATAACCACAATGTAGCCGAGTTTCTTTTTCTGAAATATTCTGGGATTTCTTTTATGTAATCTCTCTGCTGCTTTTTCTTTTTTCTCATTTCAAACTTTTTCATTGCATGACGGTTTTGCGTTTCGTTTTCTCAGGAAAAAGCCTTAGTCCATCCTTTATGGAACCTACGGCTAGTCACTTGGCAAAACAAAAAACGAACCATACGAATTCCGCACACGTTTGTACAAGGTGTAGCCTTTATTAAAGTTTCGGTTTTTTGTATAAGAATCTTGTTCGAATCATACATTCACCTGTTAGTACTCCATTTGAAGTTTTAAATTTCTTTTTTTTGGATATTTTGATCTTTTTAGATGTATTTAACTTTTTTCTTGTTTATCAGGTTCCAAAAAATATCAGCCAGGGTCAGTCAGAAAGGCTCTCAGAGTCCCACTGGTTCTGATGTTGCAACAACAAAAAGACAAAAGCTTAGTGTTGGCTACTTAAGAAAGGTACAAATAAACATGAACAATTTCGACTAATGACCGAAAAAAAAATAAAAATGTGTGAATTTCTATCAAATTTTATTTATCGTTTCTGTATAATTATGTATTCTTTGTCTCAAATGAACACAGATGAATAAACCTAAACTTAAAATAGATTCACATTAGTCGTACCTTGCAACTCGAATGATTTCAGAAAAAAATTATGGCATTTCATTGAAAGAATAGTAAGTAAACAAAGTTGAATTTTTCTCTAAAAATCGTTATTCGGTGCAGGCTGCACAACTGAAGCATCAATTCTTGTTGATGCATAAATCAACCAAGGGGGTATTTATTTATTTATTTATTTATTTTTTATTTCATTTTGCCAAATTCCTAAAACTATTCGATTAACCAATATTTATTTTCCAAGCTAATTTTTTTTTTCATATCGTTATTTACTTCAAGGTTACTGTTCCGAAGGAACCTGAGCTGGAAACAATGCTCAGAGCACAAAGACGAAGGTTTATAACTTATTCCCCTGCCTCGATCATCTTGATTAAAGTCAAGAGTTATTTATTTAATTTTTTAAAGCATTTATTGTTGATAAACTTACACAGTTTAATTTAAGTTTCAGGTCTAAAAATAGTTCTGCATGTAGCGAAACTGAAAGCAAGAAACAAAGTTTTGGTAGCTTCAAAGCACATCCACTGAATAAAAAAGTCGGTAGATATATTATGCAGTTATATATGTGGATTTTTTGTTGATATTCATTTATTTTCAATTTTTTCGGTTCGTGTACTTTTTCAGATTCTTGAGCCTCGTTTGTCACAACAACGAAAAAAAAGCCCGCCAACATTGCCGGAGTTTCAAGTAAGCGTTTTTCTTTAGCAGAAATTTCTCATAAAATGGATACAAAGTTTGCACGTTTATTATGGAAAAATTAAATTTTCTTTTCGTATTCGAATGTTAAAAAAATCAGGTGTTTCACTTGAAGACAATGGAGAGAGCTAATCACCATGCTTCTAAATTATCAGAAAATCCACCCACAGAGCAGTTCTCAAAGGTAAAAGTCTTGCTACACAGAGTGTAATTATATATAAGCTTAAAAAGCCAATTTTATAAGTAAATTGTTTTTTTTTTAATCTCATTCATTCTCAGCTCTCTTTGGGGCCGGCGTCTCAGCGCTCGTCAGCAAAGGCAAGTTTTGCTTTATTTTCTTTTTTATGGGATTTGTTTAAATTACCTCTTGTTCGTTATTTTACACTAAATAACCGGGTTGTTTATGATGAGTTACGCTCTCGTGCATTTATAGGATCAAAAGAAGGGCGATTGTGATAATTCTTTCCAAGCTGATTTCTGGGTAGGAAAAATAGTATGTTATAAACTTTAGGTTGCAGCTTGAAAGATTATGATCGGATTTTTTATTTTTTATTTTTATTCTTTTGTACGCATTTAGAGTTTGAAAAAAATAAATGCAGAGATGTAATGCAAAGCCTAATCACTGTGGAGATGATATAAAGTTTCATGAAGCTAAATGTTGGCCCGACATGTCAAGGTACGACTTATTATACTTTACATCGAACTTTCTAAATTCTAATAATTTCACGACGAAACATTTTGAGGTGAATGAATATTTACAAGTATGCATATAATTTCTCGTCGCGTATTTTATTATGTTTAGCTTTTTGTCGATTATGCAAAATCTGACACTAAACCTTTACACTTTACAGAAGCTTGGACATACGTTGATCTTACAACGATCGGAGTTTTTTTCGAACAATTTGATCAATCAATAACCGTCGATCGCGTTGCCTCTAAAATCATATCGAAGTGCTAGTGAATGATTTGAAACCATTCACATTGGAAATTTATTTGATGATATTTACTATGATGAACTCAGAAGTAAATATAAACTGCAGGTTCATGTATAGTAAGGTTGATTTGGTAGCAAGAATCATACGAAATAGTACTTACTAGAATGGTATGAAGTGTTTTAGTTCACATGATCATTTTGAGGCAGTTGCCTTTTGAGTTATAAATTTATTATGCATTTTTTTTTTTTTTTNTTATGTGACAATACATACAACTTACATTTATCCTATGCTGATTGTGTTAATTTTGCCTCGCTCGAAAAAATAATATAAGTTAAAACTCGAGTCACCTAGATAATTCTTACAATAGTATAAAAAAGATCATATCTCGATTATGCAGTTTTGCTATGAAGCCAACAGTTGCCTCCATAGTAGAATCAACTTTCTATATACAACAAATAAACCATACCATATTAATAAAATTATTAGTACTATATTATAATTTATAAGTCCCTGTGTTGATTTTTAGTTGACCCAAAATCTAAACTCGAAATTTCGTGTACAAGAAGATATTAAATAATGTATGGTTTATATATATTTTTATATTGTTTGCTTATGTGGACCATATGATGTCGTATTATAGAATTTATTATTGTATGATAAATTACTTTTATTAATAATATGTATTTTATGATAAATATTTACCATATCAACATATATACATAGTTTTATTTTTAAAAAACAAAACACACACACACACACACACACACACATATATATATATATATATGGGTCAGGTCAATTCCCTGGGTCGGCTTGGTCAAGGCCGGGTTGGGCTCGTTGCCCGGTCCAAATAGCCCACCCAGACCGGTCCGGGTCAAAAAACTATGCGAATGAATCAAATAATGCCAGGATGTTCGAGAAAATGCCTTCAAAAGGTGACGTGAATCATTCGTGATCAGTGCTAACTTGTTGGATCTTCACACGTATCGTAGAAGCAAAACGTAAACCCAAATTGACTAGACAAAGCTTCAACCAAAATTGGAGAGAAACCTGACATATGAGATGCAAAAACCGCGACTACAAGACCTTCTGATTTTTTTTATCAAACCTCCCAAACCAATTTCAGAGTCTCGTACAGTTGCATCACATTGAAGATAACAATCATTCTAATGTTCTTTTCTTCCCTTCCAAGCCCAGTTGTCCTTTACGAAGCATCCACATAATAAAAAAAAAAGTGCAAACTTGGGCCTTGTTGTAGTCCTCCACCCATCTGAAGCCTTTATCAATCATCACGTAAATATCACTTAGACGACCACCATTCAAAAGTAAACTTCTATCCTGTCACATGAGCCACAGAAACATAACAAAAAACCTGAAGTCCAATTTCTTGCAACCTTCTGAAATGCTCACAAGCCTCAACCTTAAATGTTGCCCCCGCCATTTTGAGATCTCATCCCACCAACCACACCGTCTCCAAAGCTTCTTCACCCACCAAAAATCAAATAAAAGCGTGGTTATTATTGTAATTGTATTAGGATAATTATCGACACATATGAATGTTAGTAACTAGAGCTGTCAATTTGACCTGCGGCCTGCAGGCCGGTTTGCCCCGCACCGCAAAAAGGGCGGGTTGGACCGAGATTTTTTAGGCCCGCTGGGGAGCGGGCCTAAACGGGCCAGTCCGCGTGGGCCGCGGGCTAGGGCGGGGCGGGACGGGTTAGCCCGCATGCTGGCCCGTCATTTGTTAAAAAAAATAAAAATACAAAATATAAAATTTCAATTTTCTCCCCAAACCCTATTTTTTGCCCGTATCTTCATCTCTCTTTCTCGTTCCTTCTTATCTCAACAAATCTCGCACTCAAACCTTAATCTCCACGCTTCCATCACCTCCGCCCCTCCTGCAATTGGCCGCAATCTGTCTTCGCCGTGCGCCACCGTCGTGTTTCAATTTTCGCCGCCATCCGCACTCGATCTGTTCGCCACCATCCGACATCCGCCCTTCGGCCGTTCGCCACCCTCCGCCCTCGCCCGTGAGCAGATTTATTGAAGTTTTCTTGGCAATTTCAGATGGCCCTTTTCTTGGCAATTTCGAACGGCAAAATGAAAGGCAGAGTTACTGTACAGTGTACAATATTGCGGATGACCCTTTGGATGGCCCTTTTCTTCTGTACAATAATTAAAAAAAATAAAAAATAAAAAATAAAAAACAAAAAAAATTGGCGGGCTTAGCCCGCCTAATCTGCGGCCCGTGGCGGGAGCGGGTTGGGCCTGTATTGTAGGCCCGCCAAGAATGCGGGCCAGCCTGCCCTGTCAATTGGCGGGCTTTGGCAGGCTACGGGCCAGCCCGTCTCGTCAGCCCGTTTCAGCTCTATTAGTAACTTATCCTATTAGCTCATGTTTGTTTGGTGGGATTAGGCAGGATATCCCGCCTAATTCAAGCCTAATCGTACGTTTGGTTCATGGGATTAAAGCCCGCAGGAATCTCATCGGCCCGGTATAAAAACAGTTTAATCCCTCCTACATGGGATAAATTAATCTCAGGGAATAGGTGGGATTATTCCTATCCCATTGTCTTAAATTTTTATTTTACCCCCACTTTAATAATTTTCGGACTGTTTTAACCTTCCCTGTAACACAAATTACAACTAGACCTATAATCAATTTTCCCATTAATCATCTCACGTCGCGAACAGAAATCAAAAACTGCCCTAGCTCGAAGAAGAGAAACCGCACTCCAGCTTTCATCTCCATCAGCAACGATCGATAAGGAGTAATTACCTTCCGTTGTCCGCTATTAAATTTGTCCACTATCAAATTTGTCCACCGATTCCGAAGTCTGACATCTGCGAAAGGTAACTATCGGCATTAATCTTAAAATTTTGATATCAGTGGTGTGAAAGTGTTTTGATTCCGAAGTGATGTGCCTGTGAATGTGCTCTTCCCATGAACGGTTTCAATGTGCTTTTGTTTGCGAAGTCTGAATGTGTTTTGATGTCTGTGAATGAAACTTCAATCCTGATTTTATTACCTCTTATTTGCAGAATTGTTTTTCATTAGATTTATTTTTATCAGAAAAGATTAATAATTTTTTGTGTATTAATTTGAAAGTTTTTATTGTTGTCAAATGCCATTACAAAAAAACCCTTTCCTATTTTCCTAAAAAAAATTAAAAAAAAAAATCGAAATTTCGCTCATGAAAAAAAAAGATATATATAGCTACTGATTTAATGCAATTTTTCTGTTCTGCTGCTATTGAGATTTAAATCACATTTTTTAGGTGTATTTTTATATTATGCCTTGTTTTTTAGTGTCTGTTTTCCTTTTTGAACCTTTGCTTGCAGTTATTTACATGTCCAACTAAGTATTCTTTATCTGGAATTTGAATGTTAAATTTCCACTGATTATATGTGAAAATTTTGATTCAGAGGTCAACTCCTTCTATACATACTGCACTTATCTACAAATTCAGTCCCACAGTCTGTTTAGTATGGCTATCCATTATGATAAAACAATAACGTTGTATTGATGTTTGCGGCAGATACTAATGGACATGGAGACGGAAGAATTTGAAATTGTTATGATTCTCGAATTAATTCTAAGCTTAATAAGAATCATTTTGGTCTTCTGTTATGTGTATAAAAAATATGTGCATGACCGTAGACGTCGTCGTACCATGGGTCGTAGGAGTCATACACCTATGTATCGCATGGCTGACCGCCTTAATAGTCAAATTCGTCATCTGACTCACCTTATAGAAATCAGTGACACAAATTGTATCCAACAACTTCGCATGGATCGAGATGCCTTTGGCAGGTTATGTTTTTTGCTAGCAGCGATTTTCTTAAGCGTTTTGGCACACCATAAAAAAATAGAGTCGTCAAATTTGATTTTAACCGTTCGGGCCAAACAATAAGCAAAGTATTCAACAATGTGCTAAATGTTGTGCTTCGGTTACATCCCATTCTTACGGTACGGCCAGCTCCAATCGATGAAGGTTGTACTGATAGAAGGTGGAAATGGTTTAAGGTGATAGTAATGGAATTTAATTCTTTTTATATAAATACATATCATGTAGGGATGCCTAGGTGCACTAGACGGAACGTACATACCTGTTCGTGTCCCAGCACAACTTCACCCCCGTTATAGAAACCGTAAGGGGTTTATATCAATAAATATGCTTGGTGTGTGTAACCAAGACATGAAATTTACTTACGCTTTAACGGGTTGGGAGGGGTCAGCTGCTGATGGCCGAGTATTGAGAGATGCCGTTAGTAGGACAGATGGTTTGCGTGTCCCCCTTGGTTAGTTCCACATACTTCTTATTTATTCATGTAATCCTAAAACTAGCTAAATTGACGTAATAGTAATTTGTGTCTTTTGTCATACTATAACCAGGTAATTACTACCTATGTGACGGCGGTTACACGAACGGTCCAGGATTTTTAGCTCCATATAGAGGAGTTCGATACCACCTACAAGAGTATGGACCGGGTACAAGTTCCCCATCCAATCATAGAGAGCTCTTTAACCTTAGGCATGCGAAAGCCCGAAATGTCATAGAAAGGACATTTGGTGTGTTAAAAATGCGTTGGGCCATTCTTAGGAGCCCCAGTTTCTACAACATACGTACTCAAAATCGGATAATACTCGCTTGTTGTCTTCTCCAAAACTTCATTCGCACATCCATGTCGGTTGACCCATTAGAGGGAGACATCAACGATGATATGGCTGAACCCGTGCAGATGGAGGAAGATGATCTTGTACAACATGTAGATGTAGTCCAACCAACTGAAGAGTGGACTAGTTGGAGAGAAAATTTAGCATTATCGATGTATAACTCATGGTTGGCCGGAGATTAGGTGGCATAAACTTCATTTTTTTTTTTTTGTTTGTACGACTGTTTAATGTTATTTGTGTGATTATGATTACAACAATTGTTTTTTCTGATATTAGCTCTATGTATTGCAAAACATATTATTTTGAACCATTATTGTTGATATGTGTTTGTCCTTAATAACATTGTATATGTTGTAATTTGTATTATTTTCTTCAAAACAAAATATGGGTGTTGGTGCTACAGGTATGGAGTCTAATGGTGGGAATGGGCGTAGAGAATCTACCTCAAATAATCGGAGGGTTTGGTCATCAGAGGAGGAAGCAGCCTTAGTAAATGGGCTGAAAGACCTTGTTGCACGTGGTTGGAAGTGCGACAATGGATTTCGGTCGGGATATAGTGCGTTATTAGAGCATCACATGAAACAAGTATTTCCGGACACAGACATTAAGGCCGAACCACATATTTCTTCGAAGATAAAGGTTTGGAAAAAATATCACCTATCCTTGAGCATGATGATGGAAAAGTCTGGTTTTAGTTTAACCCAGAGTGGTTATCTTGACGTGAGGGATGATCAAGTATGGACAGAATACTTAAAGGTGCGTATTTGCATATAATTTTGGCTGGAAAAGAAAGAAACTGGAGAAAAGTTCGCTGAAGCCATTTTTATTTGTGTGTTGTGCATATGTGTTGTGCTCATTCTACTAATGTCATTTGTGTCTGGGTGTTTATCTGTAACTACTAATGCTCATATTTCATGCTGTTGATGTTGATCGATAACCCGCATCTCCACTTCTCAACATTTTTTGTTTTTCTTTTTTTCATTTTGCACTCTGGAATTATTTCTATGTTCTTTACTTTTTCTGCATTTTGCTCTTGGAATTCAGTCTATGTTCTTTACTTTTACATTGTTGGTTTTATGTTGAGAAGTAACTGTGAGAAAGCTTTATTATTGGGATATTTGAATAGGTGTGGTGGTATTTTGTTTCATAATAGTTATATAAACTATTAGATGACTTAGCTATGCCTACAATGTTTATTCAAACATCTTTCAATCACATTGACATTTGTGTTCAAATCGGGATGTGCTTAAAAGCTATAACCTGTGTGTAAAATGTGAAAATGAATACTCCATTTTTTTCTTTTTCATCCCATTTTACACATGGTCTGCATAATGTTCGATTTTTTTATTTTTTTTTGAAATAATACATGGTTTACGTGTTTATTTGACTTTGTATAATAATTTTTCCATGTAGATCGACCCCAACGCAAAAACAATGAGGTATAAGTCTTGGCCATTTTATGCACAGTGGTGTGACATATTCGGAAAGGACAGGGCAACTGGTGAGAACGCTACAGGATTTGTTGATGCGGTAAACGGTGTCTTTAACATGCCTTCATCTCCGACTACTCCAAATGCACCTAGGAGATCAGAAACCAATAATAATACATGCCCAGCGGAAGAACATATGCATGAGGAGGCAAATGTGCATGATGGAGAGTGTAGTGTGTCTGCTAGAGAGAAGAGGTCAAGAAAAAGGAAAAAAATAGTGGAGGAAGACAATCAGTTCGTGGGGATGTTGTCGTCCTTCTGCAAGGAGACTGCGAAGAACATATCGGACATGGTGGTGAGGGTTGGTCATGCCCACGATGCGACCAAAAGACGTGGCAAGGTGTACGAGGTCTTAAAAGGTATGCCCAACCTAACCATGGAAGAAAAGCTACTAACCACCAAATACCTTTGCAATAAGACTGAAGAGCTAGACATGTTTTTTAGCCTCGAAAATAGGTTTTAGTTGTTAAAAAGATTTGTATGGGATGTTGGCATGTCTATGTTGATGTTGATGTTCGGTATTTTGCACTGTTGTTTTCGATAAGTTGATGTTAAAAAGATTGTTCGGTATGTTGATGTTCGGTATTTTGTTAAGTAGGTTTTGGTTGTTAGACTCACAACACTGACATTTGAGGACGTATAGACTGAGATTGATGGTTTTTCTTTTGTTTTTTCCACTGTTTGTTCAGTTTCGTTTAGCGTATTGAATTTTTAGTTTTGTAAATAGCTCTATGGAAAGAGTCCTAGTTATATTTTCTCTCTGTGCATGCTTAATAGTTCTCTCTGTGTGGACTTGTAGCTCTAAGTAGAAATCTTTCTCAACATTTATATTTAGTTTATCAAGGATTTTCGCTCGACATAGAACATTTTATGATGTTTCACTTTCAGTTTGTACTTGAAAAAAGACTTGGATTAAAAGCTTTTTGGTGTGTGTATATGTTTTGTAAATATTCCTCCGAAGCTAGAGAGTTAGGAAACGGAATATACTAGTCCTCTATACAGACATTTATTTATCTACTATACAAGAAAAAATATGATTCACTTACAAAGAAAGTAGCTGAGGCAGTGACAAAAGTAAATTTACTTGTATAGCAAAATAATGTGGATTTTCGTTATTTACATAAATCAATACATTATTGAGTTGGCCGATAAGGAGTTTTATTTAATAAAAAAAAATCTACTATTTTCGGTTTTACAAAAAAATAAATTGCTTGGAAGAACACATTTTGAGTCTTGCATTTACTAGGTCTAAGAGCAACAAACTTACCCCTCTAGAATCCTTCTAATGCCTATTAAAGGAATTGTAAACCTTACTCACAAAGCATTTACTAGGTCTAATTATTCAAAACTTACAATTATTGTTTTTATTATGAAAACAACCTATCTTTCATTCTAATTAAAAAATAAAAAAAATGTTTTGATATATATTTAATATATTTTTCATTCAAAAATATAGTTAATTGTTTGAGAAAATGCAAATGACTAAAATTATGTAAGAATATTAAAAATTACATTACATATAAAAGTAAATAATATTGATTGTAGCATTTAGATAAAAGTGGAATAAAGAGAAAAAATATAATATTGATGAATCTTTTTGTTTTGTTGTATTGCATGTTTGGTTAAGATATTATTATGTTTGCTCCCACGAAAATGTATCGCCACATGAATTGTGCAATATGCTTATTTTTGTTCTTTATTTTTTTTTGTGTGTGTATTGTAGTGTTCTCACGTGAATACGAGCATGGATACCAACGAAGACCTTTGTAATGTGGCGATACATCATCGTGGGAGTGACTGGACGGAGGAAAAGGAGGATGTATTCTATTGCATGTTCTTTGACAAGTGCCGCACAATGGTGGAGATAAGCCGTCCGTCAGTCTTCAATTCCATGTGGCACGATCTTGCCCGAGACCTTTCGGATGCCTTGCACAAAGCATTCGACAAGGGTAAGGTCCGTATGAAGATATATAGATTGAAGTTTCATTTTGAAGCTTTTAACACCTTCACCTACACAAGGGGCGTCTGGGTGTATCCGGATGATGGCACGATCACGGTGAACACGACTTATTGGAATAATCTTGTTGGGGGGGGAGGTAAACTTTAGCTTTCCCTTCATAAGCTTATTAAATTATTTTATGACTACATTATTTAAGTTCATTGACAATCATTTAAATTTATAATAATTATTAATTTTTGTTGGATTGTTGAAAAATTTACTTCATTTTCGGATTTTTACAAAATATTGTAGGAAACACCTTTCCAAAAATTCTTCCGGCTATTTGGTTTCAAGTGTTACAAAGAATGTGTGGACTTGTTCGTTAACCGTGAAGCCGCGGATGTAAACTTTGATGATGGTCCGGGAGACATGTTGGAAGATCCAATTGAGTTTACTGACTCGGATGAGGAGCCCGAAGATCATGATGACCATGGAATTGTGCCGGGAGCAACAAACGTCCACCCAATCGACGTGGAAAATTATGAGGTTCAAAATGTGCCGGGTCATAGGAGGTACCATCCAATATACGTAGAAGATTATGAGCGTGAGAATGAGCCAGGTCGTAGGAGGTCCTATCCAATCGACGTGGAGGACGAAGAGGTGCATGAGATGGATATGGAGGCCGACTCGGGCATCGATTAGGAGGAGTAGGGTCTCAAAATGAATTTCAGTGTTGGTCTTTTAACTTTTTTTGTTACGTATTCTTGTGATATCCCAACTTACATTATGTCTCAAAATACGGCAAAAAACAACTTGAATTTGAGTGGACGAAAGCTTACACCATGCGCAAACATGACTAAGACATATAACCGATTATTAACATACATACATGCCAAGCATAACAATCTCTTCATTATCTATCAATATATCTATCTCCAAAATTAAATAAATAAAATAAAAAGCTTTATTCACCAGAAAATCAATAAAATCTCGGTATACCATTGAAAGACTCAACACAATCTGTGTTCGTTCACAGGTTGGAACAAACAAAATAGTCGTCCTTCTCTATCGGCTCAGAGAGAGAATTCCTAAAAAAATTGAATTACAAAAATTTTACATCCATTTGCAACACATGACGGTCGAAGCGGAAGCAATAGGAGGGGTGAACGGGTTTTTCACCTCCTCGCCAATCAGTTCGTAAGAAGCCTGACAGTTACCGAGGCCTGCTACACGGCTCCTCGTCGGACATCCGATGGAGACACAAAAACGCAACCAGCTGTTGGCGTTGCTACGACCCACCTGCAGATAAAACAAATAATAAGGATTTATGCCTTGTATCACACATCTTACACTCTGGTTTAAACACCAACTTGATGCCTCGGTGAACACACAGAAAAAAATTGCAAAGTGTTGGTGTTATAATTCACATCAGAGATATTTCATATTATTAAGAAAAAAATATTTATTCATAGTAACAAAGATGAATTGTGTAAAATAATTGGAAAAATTCAACTGTTAACATTATAATAGCCTATGAAAGTGAAGCTACATATCCTGAATTCAATATAGCTACCAGAACAAGGTACTGGACATATCTATGGCATTTTTTGCGACAGTTAAATAGGAATAAATATCAGTGATTGGAGATGATAAATAGGAATAGATATCCCTGTTTGGAGTTGATAAGAAATGTCAAATGACCCTTGGCAACATCTTATTTACACCAAATAAGGTTAAGTTGGAATATCATAAATACTGAGCAAAACAGAACAACACTTGAGACACAGTACATAGCTCACAACTCACTTTAACATTAGTATTGAATATATGAAAGTCACTGCAGATTACTGGGTGCAGATATCATGGATTAGCCAGTATGACAGTCAACCAATCACTACTAATAGCAAAATAAATTATATTAAGCAAAACAACTACAAAAAGTATTTGTCGGTTTGCACTGTATATTACAATTAAAATCGTGCTCCAAAACTTTTACCTGGCTAACACGTCGTTGCACGTCGCTTTGACTTGCTGAAACACTGTCGACCGCCGTCCTCGTCGTTGACGCTGACTTCTACTTGGGCGGCAAAATTAGGGCTTCCAGACGAGCAACTATTCGACGCTTTGGTGGTTGTTGGCGAAAACCAAGGTCAGTTGGTCGAACTTTCTTTCAATTGCGCAAGATAACCGGTTGCCTTGGTCGTCGCTGCACGTGGTGGAAGTCATGCCTCGGAGTCGACGAAATGAAGAACACAGCTGCGAATGAGAGTTTATGAGGAGATTGGGGAAAAATCCAATTTTGTTAAGCTGCGAATGAGAGTTTATGAGGAGAGTTTATGAGGAGATTGGGGAAAAATCCAATTTTGTTAAGCTGCGAATGAGAGTTTATGAGGAGATTGGGGAAAAATCCAATTTTGTTACCTCTTTAAATATGATTTTTTGCTCGATTGGAATTCAGACATTATACCCGAACCGTAGCCCCAAAACACACGCACACAGTTCTTCGCCTCTTCTCACTCGGCAGTGAAAGTCGGCCCGACACTGCTTCACAGTGTTGTCTGATCTGCGGAAGTGGCCCACATATCCGACTACGATAACGATATTTTTCATATCCCTTTTTTTGTTTTTTTTTTTTAAGTTTG